CACAGTTATTTTCTAAATATTGGCTCTTCTCCTCAGCTTCCTTAAAATTGTTCTCTAGGATCTCCACATTATTCTTTCATTTATTTCCTAAGCCTCTTTGCGGATGACTCTAAACTTTTACTAGCTCTAAATCCATTTTCAATAAAACCCACTACCTGAATAGTAGAATTGAACATGCTCAGAATACTTACTGAGTTTATTATTTTGCTAATGTCTCCAGTAAATTTTAAAAAGTAATACTTTATTAAAAATAAAAAATATATAAAATGACTCATCTATACCTGACAAAAATAGTATTTCCTCGGAAAGAAAACTTGAAACAACAAGAAAATACTTTCTCTTTCCGGAGATAATAAAATGCTTATACAATCCATTCATTTCAGACACATAATACTTGTGAAGTATTTCAAAATTATAAAATCATGCTTAAATTTTTAGCTGAAAAGATCGTCTTTAAATTTGTTCAAAACTCAATATTCATGAACTAAGGTGGAATACATGCATTTTATAAATTATTGCAGGTTGTCCTCTATCTCTTCTATACCTTAAAACAAAATTGTAGAGCTGAAATTATAGAATTAAGATTGTGAAATACCCCTTCTTTTGATACTCATCCATTATATGTAAGTATTGCTTTAACACAAGGGTATCTAACCTGTTTAAAAGGTAGGGAGTAGGAAAGGAGGGTTTACAAAAGACTTTTGAGAATCTCATGAAAGCATAAAAAAAAAAAAAAGAAAAAGAAAATGTCAATGCACAAAAATTTTGCCATTTGCATCACTGGGGAGAGAATCTACCCTTATGGATCCTTACTTTAGAACAAATGATTTCACCACTCAAAAGAAGTGTGTTCTTAAAGACTTACTCCTGGGGCTAGCAGGTGGCATGGTAGTTAAGGCACTGGACTCCTACATAGCTGACCATGGCTCAAGTCCCAGACCCAGTTGCTTAAAAATCACACTGCAGGTGGGTCAGCAGGTGGCATGGTAGTTAAGGCACTGGACTCCTACATAGCTGACCATGGCTCAAGTCCCAGACCTAGTTGCTTGAAAATCACACTGTGGGTGAGTGGGTGTGTATGTGCACATGCGCACAAAATCCCAGGAGAACAGAGGATAAAGGACTGTGGTGTGCCCATTCCCCAGGGGATGATTTCTCACTTTCCCTCTGTCTCCCTCTGGCCAAGGCACAGTCCTGTGACAAAAACCTAAAAAGCAAACAAACAAATCCACCCGAAACCACTTTCTTCCATGTCATTGATATTATTCAAGTTTCTCCCAAAAGACTGTTTCTCCCAGTGTTCTTACAAAGGAAACAGTGATAGAAAAGAAAGGTGATCATGGAATTGTCACATATTTTTGGATCAGAATAGAATATACTTGATGTTTAAAGTTTTAATCCCAAGTTTAAAGTATTCTATTTCCCCTTCTCTCCAGTCAATTAAAAGTTAACAGCAGAAGTATTACCTCTACATACAACAAAGATTTTGGTGATGTAAATATAAGTAAATTTATACTACTAAGGCATTGCAATATTCCATTTTTAAAGGTAAGCAGTCACACAGCCTAAGTATATAATAACCATTCATGGAAAAATATATACTGAAGATCATTCTAAAATAACCACAAACATAAGCCAAATATCGTGTCATACTATTAATAGGTTTCCTTTTAACAAAATAATAAACTTTAGTGATGAATTCTTCATTTGCTATCTTTCTAAGCACATACATAATCTATTTTATTCCTATTTTGATGCTCAAATTTCATCAATATTAAGCTTACCTTTCTTTTCGGTCCGGACTGCTTAAAACATAGAAAAAGAAAAAGAATGTAAGAGGCAAGACCTCACTGTTGATATATCATTGTAGCTGTAATAACTGTGGTAAATAAGGTAAAATTATAATGTGACCAACTTACATATACATATTTATTATATGATTTGAATCTTGTCTAAATATTTTTCAATTTTAGTCAACACACAAAGTAAATTAAAAATCCTCTTACATATTTAACAGAAGATTGATATGCAAAATTATGAAATATTTTTGAAATGTCTTTATGTAACTATCAAGCACATAAGGATATATGGTATTTAGATATAAATATGTAAATAATTGCTAAGAAAGAACAACATTTCCTAAAAGTTATAGATAAAAATTTTTATTAAGAGGTATGATTACCTGCTTTTGAGTAAGACAAAAAAATTAAGGCTGAATTTCTTTCCTTTTTTTTTTAAATGTTTTGCTATAGAGCACATATACTCACTGGAGAGACAGAGGACAGAGAAAGAGAGAAAGTGAGAAATCACCCCCCGGGGGGATGGCCACACCACAATCCCTTCTCCTCCATTCTCCTCTCAGGATTTTGGGCATGCCTCATATGCTGTGGTGTGATTTCCAAGCCGCTGGGTCCAGAACTCAAACCATGGAGTGAGCCAAGTGGGATCCAGCTGCCTTAACCTTCACACCACCTGCCGGCTATTGAAACTTTTTAATACAGAAACCTTAGACTGAATGCAGTAGAGGACGAAAAGAATGGCCTGGGATTTAAAATTATGGCCTCTTGTCAAAGTCCAATGTATAAAAGTTCCACCCTTCTCCATAGCTTGTGGAAAACTCCAAAATGCTGTCAATATCAGTATCAGTAAAATTATGAAAATCCTCAATTTAGGAAAAAGAAAAGGTTTTCATCTGAAAATTATTTATCTATTATGAAAGGACTGAAATATTTATAAGTAACTGTAAGTAAACCATAGTTTACAAAATCCCCACATTAACTCATATTCTTATCATGGGCACACACAAATAAGAATTTGATCCTAGCAAATTAAAAAAAAAAATAGGCTGTTTTTACACAAACATTAAAAAATGCATTAAAAATTTTTTCAATAGTAAGGAAAAATATTATAAACTTACATTAATATCATATTTGAAGATTTATCTTTGCTATTAAAACAAGGAGTAAATTTTATAAAAGGAATCTATGTTGGATAAATGACAGAAAAAGAAGGGAATATTATCATATCTTTTGCAAAGTAGTAAAATATAAACATAAAAGCTTAAATACAGTCTATTTTACCCTATGTGTTTCCTTTTTTTCTGGGAGAGGTTTTAGCTATAGAGTGCGTGCACTTGCCAGAAAGACAGAGACAGACAGAGAGACAGAAAGCAAGAAATCACCCTCCGAGGTGGGGGTGGCCACGCTGCAATTCCTTCTCTTCCACTCTCCTCTTGGGATCTTGGGCACACACGCACATGCACCTGGTGTGAGTTTAAGCCACCGGGTCTGGGACTTGAACAGTGGTCGACTACATGCGAGTCCAGCGATGTAGCCATTACATGAACTGCTGGTCCCCTATGTATTTGTGGAGCTCTTTAGGCATTAATACCTAGTCTAACCATTTCCAATACTACCCTGAAGTGCCTAAGAAGTATAGTGTACTCTGTTGTTTCATAAACTCTTTTCCCTAAACAGGTACATTTAAAAGAAAGGTGGAATACAGAATATAGATAGTAGAAACAGGTTTGAGTCAAGAAAATAAGACAAAACATACACAAACACGCACACACTCATGTTTATTTTCCTTATCTTTGAGAAAAATGCATTAATTATGATATATCTAATTTACAAGTCATAGCATTATACAAGAATCTTTCATATGTATTTATTATCAAGTTCTGCCCTGGAGAAGCTTGCATTTAAAAAAACAACAAACTTCTAAAAACATGGACAAAAACATTATTAGTAATGGAAGACTTGATAAAATGTCAACTGAGATATTTGTTGGACTATTTCAAGCAAAATGAAAGGAAAAAATTACCTTGAACTAGTACAGTATTCAAGGTCTTAAAATTTAAAGAAAAAAAGGGGAAGAAATATATTAATTCTCATAACTATGACTTATTTATATATCAAAAATTCTTTCAAAATGCTGTTTTTCATTAATAATTACATCTTGCATATTGTTCCAGGAACTCGTTTTCCTGATTATGGATTATACAGGGTGAGCATCCCTAATCTGAAAATATGAAATACTCCAAAATCAAAATTTCTTTGAGTACTAACATGATGCCACAAATGGAAAATATGAGATAGGTAACAGTTAAAATGCTACATAACAAAAATATTGTATAGAATTACTTTCAGAATATGAGGATAGAGGGTATATGAAACACAAATAAATTTCACATTTAGATTCAGGTCCCCTTCCCAAAATATGTTATTATGGATGTGCAAGTATTCCAAAATCTGATTTAAAAAATCCAAAATTCAAAACACTTCCAGTTCCAAGAACTTCAGATAAAGAATACTCAATTTGTACTAATACTACTTTGTACTGAAACTAATCTTTTTTTTTTTTTGGAGAGGTTTTCGCTATAGGGTGCGTGCGCTCACCAGACAAACAGAGACAGAGACAGAAAGCGAGAAATCACCCCCCAGGGGGGATGGTCACACCGCAATCCCCTCTCCTCCATTCTCCTCTTGGGATCTTGGGCACGCATGCACACCTGCCCAGCGTGAGTGCTAAGCCACCAGGTCCGGGACGTGAATCACTGTCGACTACGTGGGAGTTCAGCGACATAGCCATTACGCTAACTGCTGGTTCCCGAAACTAATCTTGATAAGCAAAGATATACATGCAAGGTTTCGTCACTGAGAACAAGAATAAAACAAAACATAACCTAATTTCCAAACTGTAAACAGTTTTTTAACATCACCTATGAGGAAATGGTAATTCCAAACTGGTAACTTCAAATGCAATAATTTGATAATTTGTTTTAAATATATTGCTTAATTTTAATATAAATTTTAAATTAGTGTTCCAACTTAGACAACATTTTCAGAATATCAAGACAGATTTTTATTGCCAATGGTGTCAATCACTGTGATAAATGTGTGCGGAAAAGTATCTTCTCTTCTTCCTTCCCCATAATTACACTCACCATAATTTTATTTTATGCTCATGTTTGTGCCCCATGTAGGCCAGAAAGTTTGATTTATGTACTTGGCAGTAGGGCAAGACAATTTTTGGTATGTGCAATAATTGTCTTTTTTAGGTAAACTTCTCAAACATCTATGTGAAAATGATGATAAAATAACACATTTAAACAAAGATTTTTTGTATAAGTCATCTTTATATGTGAAAGATATTTAAGGTTTTCAAGTTGAAAATCTATGTTACAACAAAGCTATATAAACAGTAAATACACAGGGGTTCCTAAAGTTTAGCATACACTGGGACCAGCAGTTGGCATAATGGTTATGTCACTGGACTCCCATGTAGTTGACTGTGGTTCAAGTCCCAGACCTAGTGGTTTAAACTCACGCTGGGTGCTTGTGTGTGCGTGCTCAAGATCCCGGGAAGAGAATGGAGAAGAAGGGATTGTGGAGTGGCCATGCCCCCGGGAGGTGATTTCTCGTTTTCTGTTTCTCTCTGTCTTTCTGGCGAGTGCATGCGCCCTATAGCAAAAAACCTCTCCAAAAAATAAAAAAGTTTAGCATACATTTTCTGAATGAGTAGCAGCCTAGACTGACATTTAAAAAAGAAACACCATCATCTAAAATGCATAGCAAATGTTTAAACTTTGCTAGTAATAAAGAATTATTAATAATGCAATAAATTTATTTAACCACTAGAGCATAAAAATCTGAAAAACTGAAAAGGGGATGTTAACATTCAAACATCATTCTGAAAAAACTCACAGCATTTAAAACACATAACTTTCCCCAGCTGCTACTTTCATTATATTCATGGTTCAAATGGTACTTTCGAGATCAATAACACCTCAAACTAAAACTCTTAAAATCAAAATGTTCTCAAATACTCAAAATGAATATTCTGACAGTCATAACTAATATTGTGATTAATTTTGATAGTATAAAATCTTATAAACCTTAGAAAACAGTAGAAACTGTAGTTTCATACTTTATATTCTTCAAAGCTAAACTACCAATTAGTTAAATATTGTAAGATCAATGTAAATTGCCTTAGTTTAAATATCTTCTTAGATCTACTGGGTTGTAATGCAATACAATGACTCTTATTTTAGAAAACTATTTATAGAATGTGATTGATTCAAAAGCAGATATAAAATAATAAAATTCCAGGTTACAAATTATAACAGACATATATCTCTTTATAGGCAGTAAAAACAATAAAATTCACAAAGGGAAAAAAATGGTTGAAAAACAGTGGAAAAACTTCTATTAACAAGCATATTATATATAATAAACAAAGATCATCAGAATCCTTACCTTTGTGCTGCTGTTTTTACTACTGGTATCTGTGTATGAGCATGATGAAAACGTCTACCTTGAACTATAGTTCCAGAACATAATGATGCATTTTGTGTATTTTCACTGCAGATTCAAGAAACAAAGAATAATTTAATGAAGAGAGGAAAATTATATATACATTTACAAAATAAATCCTTTAAAATCTTGAGCACACTTGCAAAAAAATTTACCTAAAAATAAACTAAAAATAAAAGTATATGTAAGCCAATTGTGCATCTTAAACTGTCCAGTAGTTTTCTGCTTTCCAAATTCACCTATCAAATGTTTCCAATTTGGTTAAAAAAATACAAAAACATTAGAACAGAAATCAGAAGTCCTGAATTCTATCTCTGATTTGAAAGTTTCTTAGCCTTTCTATATCGAAGTTATCTGTCTATAAATTGACAGAGTGGAAGTAAAACAGTGTTTTCCAACAATAGCTCTGTGTAGTGACTGATAGCCCCAATCCTATGAGTAACAGTGGCTCACTATAACAACCACTATAAAAAGGGGGGTATATCTGGAAGAGAAGAGGAGTAAGAAATTTGAAAATAATGAAGAAGTCCCTTGTTGAGATAATCTTGACTAGCAAGTATCTCCTAAATATTTGACCTCCTCACCCTGTGGTGCCTTCTATTTCTAGTATTATGATTGAGATTCTACATTGTAGAATATGGAAATAACTCAGTAGATCCAAGTTTACACAAAGAGTTTTTCAATGTATTTAATTCAAAACCAAGATATCACTGCAATAATCTTCCTCTTAAGATCTGAAGTAAAAAAAAAAATCTACACAATGGGACACTACCTTTTGGCTTTACTGACAAATTCCAAAGAAATGCTATACATAGGTTAGACCTACTGGTCACAAAGATGGGCAGCTTTGATATCAAACACCTTGTTTTTTCTGTATTCAATGGTAAAGTACTTGTACCTTAATTTCTTGTTGTTGTTCAACATGTTAAGTCCAATTGGGTTGCCTTTCAAAGTTTTAAAACTGTCAGTCTTGTTTCGCTTTACATATGCCTTCAAGATGAAATCACCAGAACTAGTAGCAACAATTTCAGATCGGCGACTTAACTGGAAAGTCAATAAATGTTAGAGTTAGTAAACAGTAGAATACAACAATATATTTGTAAACCCTAAAAAAACAGTGGTAAAAGTGAAAAAATGAGAGCTGGCAGGTGGTATGGTAGTTAAGGGCACTGGACTCTCACATGGCTGTCACAGTTCGAATCCCAGACCTGGCGGCTTGTCTTCTCACTTTCCCTCTCTCTCTGTCCCTCTCTGACCAAATTAAAAAATAAGTAAATAAATAAATAAGGTTAAATAAAATAATTCTTTAAAAAAAGAAAAAATATACAGCTACTGGGGACAAGAGAAAGGGAGAGAAGTGGTGGGGATCTAAGAGATCTTGGAGTAATTCTGCCAAATGCAGTCAGCAGTCTTTTTATCTTTTGAGAGAGATTTTTGCTAAAGCATATGTCCTCTCACTGGAGAGACAGAGACAGAAAGCGAGAAATCATCCCCAAGGGGGATGGCCACACCACAACCTCATCTTGTCTTTTCTCCATGTGGGATTTGGGACACTCAGATACATACATGCACCTGGCCTGAGTTTAAAGTCTCTGTGTCTAGGACTTGAACCGCAGTAGGCCATGTGGGAGTCCAGCAACATAACCATCATGCTGTCTGCTGGTACCAAGTCAGTAGTCATTTTAACTGAGCTTTTCTATTATAATTCTACCTTATCACAAAAGTTTCTATATAAACACAGAAATTGAGATGTTCTTGTTTGTTTTACTTTTTTAGAGAAATTTTTTGTTATAGGTGCATGAGCTTGCCAGAGAGACAGACAGACAGAGAGAAATCACCCCCCTAGAAAAGGTCACGCCACAATCCCTTGTCCTCCATTCTCCTCTTGGGATTTTGGGCACGCATGCACACGACCTAAGTTGTAAGCCACTGAGTCCCAGACTTGAACTATGGTCAACTACATGGGAGCCCAGTGACTTAACCATCTGCTGGTCCTTGAAATCAAGATGTCTTTATATTCTCATGTCTGCAAATGATAATATAAACATCAATAACAATCACCTTGGGGAAATCATAGATTCCTCCAAAGCTCTTCTCAACAAAGAAACCTACCTTTGTTACACTTACAGTATAAGATATTTAAAAGCTGCTTTTAGACTCAGTAAAGCAAAAAGGTTCTTTGTTCTTTGTAAAAATTTCCCCCAAAACAAAGAAATATACTCATAAGAAAATAGTAACTTGACTTCCCCCCAATTATTTCTATAGAAACCCCCTAGTATACTCAAAAAAAATATCTCCCACAAATATGTCCTGAGGAGAGAGTTCATTGTGGCCACTCCATTCTTGTTTTCATGCAGTTTTTTTTTTTTTTTGCATATGTATGTTCCATAACCCAAAAAGTTCTATTTTTGACATGTGGCTATCATTTTCTCCTTAAAATGTTTCTTTATCTCTAATCTCTTCTGGTTTAACAGACTACCAGGGAAAGAAACCCAGAGAGCCGAGCCCATATTTAGGACCATTTACCCGTGAAGCACCATTTACCATGAACACAGCTAAGAAGGTAACAAATTGTGCCTAACTTCTCATGGACTTACATAATTAGGAAAACAAAAATATAAATCCTTTATCTAACTAGGCATAGCGAAACTGCAGAAATCCAGACACAAAGGGATTATTCTGAGAAACAGAAGGGGCAGGATAATAAGACACTATTATTCAAAATACAGGCTTTCTCCTAATTCTATGCTCATTTCAAATAAGGAAAAGGAATTATATTAGTTTAAACCAATGCTCCATATCGAACTATACATTACTCACAAGCCTTTAAAAATCCAGAATACACAAAGACTTTCTAAGGGGTAAACAGACAAGGATAATTTTAAGAGAATCAACCTAAAAGTACTCAATCTCCATTTTCATACTTAAAACTGATTTACTTTAAAACTCACTTGTAGAAAAGGCATCATAAAATGTCTCCTTTCCCTTCTACCTGTTCACAATAGCTTTATCAAGTTTATAGAAAATATGATTCTCTACTATTGTATTAGGGTCTCAAAATGTCCTACAGGGAACAATTTGAACTACTAGTATCTGGAATATCTTTTGGCATATGAAAAGTGGCAGGGCTTTGTACTTTTCCTAGTTTTATATATATTTCTACTAAAGGTAAAGCACAAGTTAAAAACTGGGTATCTGGGGCTAAAGTAGGATTTTGTTTATTTATATTGAAAAATAGAAAAGCAAAAATGATGAAAATTTGCATTTATACACTTTGTCTCTCTCAATGTTTTTAAAAGAAGGCATTATTCCCAGAGAAAATTAAGGGACAACCAAGTAAGAAAATAATTTCCAAAAAATGACTAAAGGCACTTTGTTGTGCCTTAGCACAACCAGGTAATAAAATCAGGTCAAAACCTAGGTGGTATTTTTCTATATTAGAATTCTGAAGTGAAACAACTATAACAAAGATGCAAATTTACATGCACAATTGGAATGAAAAATAGGAACAGAGTTTTTCTTTTCAGATAAAATATTGGGTTTGACCATGAGGACTGGCAGTTATACAGAGACATTCTTCATATACTCTGAAATTAACATACAACTTCTAAGTTTTAAAGAAAATAAATAATCCACAAAATATGAAATATTTTAGAAAAAGCAGGGCTGGCCCTGTCCTGTAGTGGTTAAGTGCAGTGGGAGCCAGATTTTACAAAGCCAACCATGGTTCAAATCCTGGCCCTCATGGCTTAGAAATCGAGCTGGGCACGTGTGCATATATGCCCCAAATCCTAATGGGATGGTAAAATAAAGGAAAAGGGACCTCACATCCTAGGACCTTCCTGAGCATGCCATGTAAGCCCATACACATGATCTGGGCTGGCTGAGGAAAGGGGTCAATCACAGCATGAAGACCTTGTTTGGGGTTACCCTCTCTCTCTCTCTCATGGAAAAAATGAATAATCTTAAAATAAATATGTACTACACATATGAAAAGGTGTTCAACTTCACTCATAATAAAAGAAAGGCAAATTAAGACTATATTCAAATACTATTTTTCATGGGCAAAGATCAAAACGTTAATCACACAAAACGTTAATCACACTTACTCAGAAGTGTGGGAAAACAGACATTTCCAGATATTACTATTAAAAGTATAAATCTGGGGGCACCAGCAGTTAGCATTAATGGCTATGTTGCTGGACTCCCACGTAGTCGACCACGGTTCGTGTCTCAGACCCAGTGGCTTAAAACTCACGCCGGGCGCGTGTGCATGCGTGCCCAAAATGAAGGGATTGCGGCGTGACCATCCCCCCTGGGGGGTGATTTCTCGCTTTCTGTCTCTATGTCTGTCTCTGTCTGGCGAGCGCATGCACCCTATAGTGAAAACCTCTCCAAAAAAAAAGTATAAATCTGGTTTTCCAAAATTAGAAATGCTCTTGTCTTAATACAGCCGCTCTACTTTTAGTGGCTCAACAAATATTTTGCCTCTTGCTTCTCTGCCTTTTGGCTAAGATCAAGTGAAGATACGCTTTCATGTATGCATGAGAATTTATATAAAAAGACTAATTTTTACTCAACATTATTTTATATTAAGATCAGAAAAACTGTGTATAGTGTATTATCAATGGTATAAGAGGGTAGGTAAGAATAAACATTATTATAATTAAGAAGAAACTGGGAACATGATTTGTCTCTGGGGTAGGAAGTTGGCAGGGTTTACAATTAAAAAAACATAAATCTTCCTTAGAGGTAACCTAAAAGAAAATTTTAAAAGTACCACTTGCCTTTTTTCCTTTTGAGGTTTCAGAATCCTCATCTTCATCTACACTGAGTAGATTTGCCCCACTACATAAAAATAAGGGGAAAAGATCTTAAGTAACAATTAGAATTCATACATTGTAAATTTTATCCTCTATGCTCATCTAATTCAGGAAATCAGCAAACTTTTTATAATGGCCCAGATAATAAATATTTTAAGGATTTGCCGGCTACACAGACTCATCAGTAACTCATCTTTGCCACTGTATAGTGAAAACAGCCAAAAACCATACATACGGCTGTACTCCATTAAAATTATTAATAAAAATAAGATGGCAAACAAGACTGAGCCTATGGGCCATAGTTTGTTAACCCCTACTATGAATGAATATGTTATTTTCTTTAACTATGGGTTTTATGTATTCTCATTCATTTTTTCTTCCCACACTGGATTGACAATTAGAGAAAGAGAATAGAGAAACAAAACAAAGCAGCAGAAAGAAACCGGTAAGGAAATAAAACTTGAGCTAATGAAAAGTAATTCCAATGGTACTGCCACAGTATTACAGTTATAGCTCTATTACTCTTGGAAATATCAACCCTTCTTTGAGACTCCTTGGCCTGAGATTTTAAAAGACCACACTGGTATTACCTATTAAGAGTTCATATTAATCTACACAAGTTTAAAAAGCTGAAGCCCTGTGGACCTGGGATTAATGAAAAAGTACACTTCATAAATGAAATGTACAGGGAAGCTAGCACCTTAAAAGACCTTTTTTCCCCATATATAACAATGGTGAATCTTCCAACAAAAAAAGTCAAAGTCACCTTTTTGAAGAAAATTCTGTCAAGCTATTTATAGTAAAATCCTAGCTATTTATCTAAAAATGTACAATGTTTCACTTTATTACTACTTTTATACATCTTCAAAATTCTCTCTTCCAAACGTTTCACCAAATCGTTAAAAAGGTGGCATAGTTTCTATTCAGCTTAATTTAGTATTTAATTTAACTATTCAGAACTACAGAGGGGGAACCAGCAGTTAGTGTAACGGCTATGTTGCTGGACTCCCACGTAGTCGACTGCGGTTCCTGTCACGCCGGGCGCGTATGCGTGTGTGCCCAAGATCCGAGAGGAGAATGGAGGAGAGGGGATTGCGGCGTGACCATCCCCCCTGGGGGGTGATTTCTCGCTTTCTGTCTCTATGTCTCCCTCTGTCTGTCTGGTGAGCGCACGCGCCCTATAGCGAAAACCTCTAAAAAAAAA